GAAAAGTAGTGAGAAAGTTTGTCAAAACAAAAAGTTATTATTTGATACCATATGAAAACTTTTAATAAGAGAATTATTAAAATATTTAGACCAAGAAAAAGTTTGATTATATTTATTGTAATCTATCCTTGATTTTGAGAATCCTCAATCAAGTCCTTTTATTGACCAATAAAGTAAGCTATAATTCTGTTTTGGACCAAGAAAAAGTTTGATATATTATTTAATATATATATATAGATGTTTGGACCAACCCATTGGAAATTTCTTCCCATCCCTTGCAAAAGCAACAGCATCTATCAATGGGACCCCATATGCCTTGATTTAGTGAAATTTGGTATGATTCTTGGTGGGTCTGCTTAAGTAATTAAGGTAACATATCAGTTTAAGAACAATCCTAAATTTTTCTGAAAATGGGACTTCATGTTTCCTTGCCAAATTCAAAGTAAAAAAGAAAAAGATTGTCCAAAGAATTTGAGTTGATTTTTTTTTCCCTTGAATTGCACGATAGTACTGTGCAAAAGTTTGCCTACACGTTCTCTTCTGAACTTAAAATGTCAAAATTGTACAGCACACTTTGTTTTTATTATTATATCTAACGGTGAAATTGAATCGAATTGAATCGATATAAATGAAAAGTTTAAATTTAAATTTAATTTTTAATTTAAAATTTAATATTTAATTCGAATTTATTTAATTAAATTTGATTAATATGTTAAAATAAGTTCGATTCTTATATTTGATAAAAATTTGATTATTTATGTTCGAACTCGAATTCGATATATTTTATTAATTAAAATAATAAAAAAATTTAAATATAAAAATTCGATTAAGCTCGCGAGCTACTCGAGTCGAGTATAAAAATACTTAAACTCGACTCGATCGATAAATCAAATTACTCAAGCTCAACTCGACAATAATCTAATCGAATTCGAATTTTATTCGAATCGAATCTGAATAACTTACGAGTATTAATATATCATTTATACCTCTAATTATAATGAATTGTTGAAGAGTATATATTAGTTTTTTTTTTCAATAGAGAAAAATTTTAAAAAAAAAATGCAACAATAAAAAGGAGGTTTTAAGTTTTTTGTAAATATTTATTTAAAATTTATTGCATGAAGATAAGAATTGGAACTGAGGGAAGTAAATATACAGCTAAAAGGCAAACGGATGATCATCATTTTCTTGTAGAATCAACTAAAGAATTTATGTGTGATTCAATTGAAGCTTAGGCTTAATTAATATTTGTTCAAAAATTTCAACAAGTCTTTAAAATATGAAATTTTAGATTTATGAAATTAAAAAAAAAATCTCTAATCAATTTTTTGATTATTTATTTTATATTTGTTATGTAATAAATTTTTTTATTTTTTATATATAATAAGAATTTATTAAAATAATATTATCTCATATCTAATAAATATTTAATTTTATGTAATTTTATATTTAAGTTGAATTTTGTTATTTAATATAAATTAATTTTCAATTGAATTTTCAACAATTATTAAAACAATAATAGATGATAATATTATTATTTTAATATTTTATAAAGCTGGGATCTAACTTTTTTTTTTTAATACGATCAGGATGTTTTTAACTTTTATTTGGATTTATTTATTTAATACTATTTTAGGGACACTCTCTTCATGAAATGATATATTTTAAAATTTTACTTTAAAAATATTTTTTACGAAAATCGAATCAATTTTACTTTCATATCCACTGGACTAACCATACGTCCTTGCTATGCAACTTGATTGAAAGTGAAGACACCTAGCTAGTAGATTTGGTTTGCCTAGCTCATCAACAAATGTGTATTATATATATATTTTTAATGTTAACAGATTTTATACATCATGTATTCGTCAGAATGACTGAAAGAATTTACTTATGAGTGTTGAAATAGCAGAGCAGAGGGCATATTCAAGTCGTTTGCAAATTGCACTTCCTCCATGTGCTGCTGACTGCTAGTCTACCATATACAATGCATCAAGTACGTCAAAGTTTAACAAATTATTTTTTTCCCTCGACCCTGAAAAAATAAACAGAAAAAAATATATTAAAAAAAAACAAAATAGTACAGCAATCAAAAGTTTCAAAGAGAAATCATTGTGCATGCATCATGATCGTGATGTGATCAGACGGTTCATGTGCTCCCACGCCATTTTACCTCACGTCTTAGCAACACGAGGCAGACAACCAATAGGACCCACACTCAAGTATGAATAAATTTCCCAAAAAAAAATTTTTTTTTTCTTACCATGGCCACCCTGCCTCGACGGGGACAGATTCGAAATATGGGGAAGATTTTAGAGTAATAGTAAATTGTGGGGCCATTGAAAAGATCATATTTTGAAAGGACCCCACCCCAAAGATTTCATACTTGCTTTGTGGGACCCTTCATGCTCCTACTTTTATTTCTTTCATGTTCCCTTTAGCCTATGGACATTCTTTCTTTGCATGGGTTTTGAATTTCGTGGTCCCTATTTTCTTTATTTTTTTGTTTTCCTTTCACTCTTTCCGCCATCTACAGTAATCAAATTTATAATTATTATGTTTCCCTTGATTATGCAAGAATCCCGAGCTTGGCCTCTTATTTTGATTTCAAAATTGACTAGGGGATCCCTTCTTTTTTTTTCTTCGTTATGGATTGGACCGATTGGTTACCTCAAAATTATGTCTATTTAAGGTGGATTAATAATTATTTATATAAAAAAATCACAGCTTCAAAATAAAAAAATTATATATAAATTTTTAATTTTTAATTCGTTAAATATTATTTTTTTAAAATAATTATATAAATTATTAAAATTAAATCCTAAATTCGGATTAATCTTTTTTTTTATGGATTTTCTTAGTTGTTTATCTTTGACTATTTAAGCAATGTAAGATGGCAAAAATTTTTTTTTTTTCTTTTGATTATTGGCAAGTTACTGTCCTTATCATTAATTATAAAGAATAAGCTTGTGGGGATTAGACTAAGCTTTGCTTCTTTTTTTTTTTTTTTCTTTTTTACATTTTTTTAACTCGCTTATTGAATTAGATAGGAAAAGAGAAGACCTCAAGATTCACACTTATTGCCAAAACTTAGTTTAAATTGCCAAATTAGGTCAATAATTTGTAGGTCCCCCATGGGTGCTTAAACCAAGTTTAGGACTTTTGACAATGAAAGAATACCTAAAGATATAAACAAATTTCTATCTTCTTTCAATGGAATCAAATCTTTTCCTCATAGTTTTGGCATCTAAAGTTAATTATAAAATTAAAATTAATGCTAGTTTTTTTTTTTTTTCCCCATAATTTGGGCTCTCAAACGCCATTTACTAGTTCTTTCTTTAAAATCATAACAAATATCACGTATTGTCAATGTAATTAATTTTCTAAATTGAAGTTTAATTTATAGTTACCCAAAATTTAACACTTATTTAAAATTTTTAAATTTTATTGTAGATATGATAATTTAAAATACGATAAGTAATACAATATGAATACGATACAAAATATAATATAAAGATAATACAACTTAAAATTATAGCAATAACTATATTAAGTTTAATAAAAAAATAAAATAAAATTTTATATTTTAACGTTGACATGAATTATTACACGTAATTATTATGTAAAATATTATATAAATACATAATTTTAATATTTTATACGATACGAATATATAAATCTCGAGTCTACTGTACTACGTGTTCTTATTATAAAAAATATTATAATATTTTTATAGATATTATGCAAACATGAAAGGAATTTTAATAAAAAATTTAAGATTTAACTCAACCAATTCATACAATTATTTTTAGATATAAAATTTAAATTTGAACATATATAACCTATTTTTTTATTTTTATACTATGATTTATTTTATAGAAAAATTAATGAGGAAGTTTTTTTTAATAGTAATTGTGAAGAATACAAATGCATTTTTTCTAAAGAAGAAAAGACAAATGCAAATCAAGATTTTCACCGACAATTACAAGTATTACAAACCCGTGATAACTTGTAACTTCGTTAATGTCGGACCGACAACTTTTTTTATGTGCTATTTTTTAAGTAATTGCAAGTAGTCTATAAAATATGAATAAATTAATTTGAAATTGATAGTCATAGTATTAATTTAATCTTTTACTGTTATTCCTCAAGGATATAGTAATATAAGAGAAAGGAAGAAATCATGGGTCACATCCCACAATCTGTTAGTTGGAACAAATTGATCCCACCAAGTTTTAAGCATGCAAAGCAACATTGATTTGACATTAATTTAATTTTTTATAAAATAAATTATAATTTAATTGAAGATAAGTAAAAAGATAGTAAATGTTAACATTTTAATTTTAATTTATTAAATGTTATTTTTTAAAATAATTATATGAATTAATTAAATTAAAATTAAAATTTATATTATATTAATTATTTTATAAAATAAAGATTCATTTGCATAAGTGTAATTTTTATTTTTTTTGAATTGATCAAAATTAAATTTGTGATTAATTAAAATTAAAATAATAATTTTAATTTTAATAATTTTGATTTAATGATTCAAAAAATATAAAATTTACGCTAACATAATTAAATCCCTCCCTTATATATATATATATATATATATATAAACCTACCCAATAAGACAAAAAATAATTATAAATTAAATATCTTTAATTCTTGAATAATACTAAGAATAATAGTTTAATTAGTTAATCACTGTATTTTTTTTAAAGTCAATCTCTCCAAATCCAATTCCAACTCCCAAAAATCAAAACCTCTTTTATACACTTAAACCATCATGACCAAGTGGCAACAAAGATCTGCCCTGGATTTTCCTTGGCAATCAAACAAAATCCGAAGCAAATGAAAGAAGAGAAAAGGACAGAAAGAGAAAGAGAAAGAGAAAGAGGAATAGATAAGTAGTTGTACCAACACACGTTATAGAGAATCTAGTGAGAAATTACAATTTTTTTTTTCATAGCCTTAGATTAATAATAAATAACATCACTTTCTCTCTTTCTTTCCCTTTCCTTTTCTTTCTTTTTCTTTTTCTTTTTTTTTCTTTTCCTTTTTATTTGCTGCAAAATACAGTTGCCTCTCTCACCTACTTCATAAAAACCTAGGGAAACAACCTTTTTTTTTTTTTTTTTTCTCTCACACACTCTTCATTCATATTCCATCATCAAAGGCATTTCAATTCTCCCTTTCCTTTCTTCTTTCTTTCTTTCTCTTCATAGCTGGGCTGTATAAAAGGCCTGCAAGAACATACTATATACCAATTACAACAATAATCAACAAGAAAAACTAGTTTTTTTGCTTCATCAGAAGTTTTAAGAGGTTGGCTGATCGAGTAATAGTATTGGGTTTAGTATTAGAGTTATAAGTTTTGTTTTGACAGTGATGGAGTTGATGAAATCAGACAATATTATTCAGGACAGATCCGAACAGCAACAAGAACAAGAAATGCAGCAACGGCAGCAGCAACAACAAGAACAGCATCACTTTCATGTGTTGGCAGTTGATGACAGTGTTATAGACAGAAAGTTATTGGAGAAGCTCCTTAAAGTTTCTTCATACCAAGGTTACCAACCACGACATAAGAACAAAATCCTAACCCTTTTTGTTCTAAACCCTTCGGACTACAGCTATTGCCTTGTCTTTTTTTTTTTTTTGGGTTCCCCTTAATTTCCCATTAAAAAAAAATCCAAATGGTTTAATGGTTTTTTTTTTTTTTTTGGTTTCTGCATCTGATTGATTCTTGATTGTTGGGTTGACGTATAATTGCAGTGACCTGTGTTGACTCCGGGGATAAAGCTTTGGAATATCTTGGCCTGCTCAATAACTTGGACCCTCACTCAACAGCTTCTTCTTTTTCTTCTACCTCATCTTCGTGTTCCCAGCCTCCGCAACAAGAGGTAGTGCTTCTCTCCATTAAAACACTTTTTCCTCCTGTTGTAGAATATCATATATATAATCTGCTTGCTGCATCACTTTCTCGTTTCAACTATACTACTATATAATATATATAGTAAATTTTTACTCAAAATTAAGCTTTTAATCACTATCATTAGTCTGTTAATTGGCGTTTTAATTTCTGGAACTGAACGTTAATTCTCTTTCTTGATGAGATTATTGAGTGAAAGAAAATCCATGCCACAGCTTTTACAGGAACCTGTAAAAATTTTTCTCCTTTGACTATTAACCTAAAAGTTCTACACAGTACAATTATTTAATTGTACTGAATCCAAAATAAGGGATTTGAATTTGGTAGAAAATTTGTTAGTTCTAATTAGATTATTTAATCTGTCAATTCCTTTGTTTTCGATAATAAGAGATCTTGAATTCCAGTAACAATGACACTTACCTTCTTCTGAGCTAAGATGAGTGAAAAATGCACTCTAGTTCTAGTGTCTTTTGGTAAGGCATCATTTTCATTCCATTTAATATTTGTTTAGATTTAATTTTTAATTCACTCCTTTTTTTTTTTTTGCATCAAATTAGAATGTTTTTGGCACCATTTAAAGACTATGTTGAAACAATAAATGCTGACTTATACACTGCTTAGGACACATAAAAAAATCCAGTGTCCGGTAGATTTGCAATGACCAATTGTTGTTTTTCCTTTAAATATGTATATATTACATGTTTCGAATGAATGGTAACATGAATCCAGAATTGAAAAAAAAAAAAAAAAAAAGTGCTCCACAGCTCAAGGATATTGGTTCTAGGTTCCATGTCAGGAAATATGACCGTAGATTAATTAGGCCGTAGGAGAAAAGGCACGTTTTAAAGGTTAATCATGATTCATTGTTTTCCCTCTAATGGGTACAATACTTGATGTGTCCCTTTTGTATCATGATCGAAAATAAAAAACCCCTAAAAATTTAGGGGTTCACACTTGAAAATTCAGCTCTAAATTTGTAAACACATTCATCATCAAAATCCCTAAAGATAGATCAAATCAGAATCAGATGATATTACTTTTCACATAAATTGTGTTCCGAAAAACTAAATGCATATAAATCATCTATACTCATTTTATGTACAAGTAATTATTGAGAAAATGTATGATATAATTTTTTTAGTCCAAATTAGATCATCATTTAAAGATAGGAAAAAATTTTGTAATATTGAAATTTAAATTTCAAATTTGCTAATGAATCAATTAGACTAAATTTTGGTTTGATGTGCAATATAATTTAATCACTTTCAATGCAAGCTTTTTTTTTTTTTTTTTAATAATTTTTTTAACCTTATCTGTTGCAATTTTAATTGGCATCATTGAAAATACAATTAAAGTTGTTTATTTTACACGGCTGATACTAATATTTTCTTGTGTTCTTACATCAAATGTAGGGACTTAAAGTCAACTTAATCATGACAGACTTCTGTATGCCCGGAATGAGCGGCTATGATTTACTCAAACGAGTCAAGGTCAACCAATACGACTTAAATAATTAATTTCCTTTTATTATATTTATAATTTTTTCTCCATTTAGAATATAGGAAGTTCCCAACTTTCCAGGATACTGCATGCTTTACCAGGACATCTAATTTCAGGCAAAAACTTAAAAAAAAAAAAAAAAGAATGCTATTGACTCACATGCATTAGGCTCTAAGCAATGCTTACTCATCTTCAAATTCAATGCTATTGATTCGTATTTCTTATAGAGCATACCTTTTCTTATTCGGATGGAGTCATGTTTAAGATTGCTTCAAACAAGAAGTAAAAAACAAAAAAATCTAGAAGATCAACTGCCATTTTTTTTTTTAATATTATAACAACTTAGCAGGATTATGCTTACAATGGCAGGGATCTTCTTGGAAAGATGTACCAGTCGTGGTCATGTCATCAGAGAATGTACCTTCAATAATCAGCATGCAAGTCATACTTATTTCTTTTTCCAATTCATTTCTTTTTTTTTTTTATAATTATTTTTCTTAATACCCAAGTTTAGGTTATCACTTGATAAAAGATTCATAAAACGACATGGCAGGTGCCTAGAAGGAGGAGCAGAGGAATTCCTGCTAAAGCCTCTTCAACTATCAGACCTTGACAAGATTCAAACTTACCTTCTGAAATCCCTTCATCATTCTTGTACAAACATCGACAAAACAGACTTGATCGATCACGTCGATGAAGACATCAACAATAACAACGACGACAACAACAATAATAATAACAGGTAATAGTAATAAAAGCAACACTAATTTTAGCAAAAGAAAGGCTATATCTTCTGAAGCTACGGAGAGAAGACCAAAAATGAAAGGACTAGCAGTTGTCGTATGAAAATGTTATAATTAATGGTGCATTTTCTTATACTCGGGGAGTGTATTGACTTGGTTAATGCCAATATCAAAAACCGAGAGGATTTAATTTTGGCTTATTATAATGTTTTAGCTATTATATATTAATTACGTAATCAATTTAGTAGGATAACATGAAAATAATGTAAATTGCTGATTCGACATGGTAAAATCATGCTACAAGAGGAGATGAAGAGATTTGACATGATTAGAATCATACTAAAGAGCAATTGAGGAACGGAGAAGCTGTCAAAATTGACTTGAATTTGAAAAAATTTCACTGAACTTGTTTAACTCGAATCCAGAAGACTTAAATTCGAATGATTTAAATTTAAAATGATCCGACTTCAAACAATCCAAAAGAGAAATTAGAAATTACTTAGAACTCAAATAATTTAACTATCAAACTTTAAAGAGACAAGTGCAAGATGAACCAAACGCAAAACTTTTTGAACTTTCATTAACCTAAGATTACCCAAACAAAAGGAACTCAACCTAAACCAAACTTGGCCCACCTATTTGACACTTTATAAATGATTCATTATTATTTTTATTAATTAATAGCTCAAATGCTCAAATGCAAACTTATACTAATTAATATACAAAAGGGTAAAAAAAATCTTCGAGCAAAAATTTAATAATTATTTAAACTTTTAACATTTTATTATAATTAGTCAAATCCCAAATCTTCTATTTCAAATTAATTAAAACCTTTAAATATCTATTTTCACCCAATTGAAACTTTAAATATATATTTTTACTCAATTAAACCCTTAATTAGGCAAAAATAATCAAATTTCTTTTAACAAAATTTCAATTAATGAAAATAGATATCTAAAAATAAATATTTGAAAATTTAATTGATTGTAAAAAATCCATGAAGATTTAAATGATTATTAAATTTTAAATTAAGAACTTTTTGGACCCTTTTAATATCACTAAATTAAACTCGGAGTTTGATTTGGCTGATTTTGCTTTTTACTTTTAAGAAAAAACAAAAACAACAAAATCAACCAAAGCATTAGATAGAAAATTAAACCAGTATCCAACTTAAAGTTTGGTTATCATAAAAATTAAAAATCTGTGTATTCAAGTACTATAAGAAGTAGACGCAGAACCTAAAGTTCCAGTACCCACGTGAGTCAGGTACAAAGGTATGTCCAGTCTAATCGATTCAAAAACCTTAAGGCCCGGTGGAGTTGGACTTAGATCTGTTAAAAGTCCCACAACTCCACCAAAAGAAGCATGGCCCTGTCCCAAACCATGTACTCGTAAACATGCAGTTTAAAGATCGCAAATTACTCATCAAAGCAAACAGCAGTGATAGAAAACATTCAAAAATTAAGGGTACAAGAAAATAACTTCAATATATCCTCTCTAATTTAACTTGCTTCGATGTTTCCTACAGCCAAGTAACTGTTACAACTAATGATATTCCGCAGAACTACTATGAACCATATAGCCTAAAACTTAAGAAAAACACATCCAGTTATTATTCATAGACACAGATCTTTAAATGTAAAAGGGATTATAGTGAAATAAAAGGGGAAGGAGCAAGATTAAGCATCATTTGGTCCGTAGCAGTTCTTGCATATAACAGTAATACACATACCATATATGTGCGTTGTGTATTTAAGTCCTGCAAGAAAAAAAAAAAAAAAATTTCGACATCAAAATTTTTTTTATCTATGTTGTCGCTTTTGTTATATGCCTTTTGCCATTTGCGTCCTTGAATGTTGAATGTAAAAATAAAAATAAAAATTATACTGTTAGATTAAAAAAAAAAGAGCAAATGTCCAAACACCAATACCAATTCAAACTTGGAAGAGTCTAAAAGTGTACTGCTTTCATTAAAACCAGTGCTTATAAGACAAAAAGATTGATATTAGAAATGTCAGAAACTTACGCTCTTCAAAGCTCATCTTTTACAGACTCTTGATGGACAGCTTGGCCCCTGTTCTTTTCAATGAAGTCGATGATGTCTTCCTTGGTCCTATCACCCTCATATGGAGTTATATTTCCATTAGCCGATCTAAAGTAAACAGTTGGGTAACCTTTAACATCAAAGTTTTCATCCACAATATCATTTGCAGTTGCATCCTACAAAGAGGAATGAAGAAGCCCATTGATCAGAAAACTCTTCCCAAAAAGTAGGAAGGTAATTTAACATAACATCATGTCAACACAATATAAAGACCAGAGAAACATGTGGGCCCTGCAACAAATGCTGTTTATGTACCTCAATATTCGTCCTAAGTACGACCTCTAAGCATCACCATTCTATATAAAATTATCTTCCTAATAAATTGTCTAAAATCAGTGGACAACGTATCATCAATAATGCCACTAACCAAGACCTTCCGTTCTAAAGCATTTTCTATCATTTCTATCATACTCGGCTAAAGAGAGCATTGCTCAAAACTTAATCTGATCAAATGGAAACGGAAACCTAAGCAAGTCGGAAAATATTCAATATAATGATATAAAGCAATATCTACTCCCTATTTAAAACCAACAAAAGTAATAAAACTTACAAGTTTTGCAATCAAAACATCAGCATCTTTTTCATAATGGACAGCAACTTCATCTAAGATTGGTGCCAATTTCTTGCAATGTCCACACCAGGGGGCATAAAACTCAAGAAAAACTGCAGAAAGAAAAGCATGATGTCATTTTATAATTCCCAGAAGGTGGTTACGGAAATAGAATAAACAAAGCTCATTATACATGAAGATTGAAGTCTAACACCAACAGTTGTAAAGCACTGAAAAACTCCACCAAACTCAACCAGAACATTATTCAAATCCCTAACTTAAGACTCACAGAATACCTAACAGATAGCTCCCAAAATGAAAAGAAAGCTTGATATCAACTCCTTAAAAGTTAAATTTTAGATGCGCATAACGATTTTTTATCTTTACAACAAAAAGTTATCCACCAATTAGTCATGTCTTGAACCAAAAAATAAAAGTTTTAAAAAGAAGAGTATCTGAAAAGCATGAGACCCTATAAAAAATATGCTTACAGAGTTTTTTTTTTTTTGGTAGTTGAGGTTTCCAGAGATTAAACCTTGATCATTGGAACTAAGAGTTTAACACTCTACTTAACAGACCACATGGGTGTTGACATGTCGTTCTGTATTACAAGGATTTGCTGATTCTAAGGGTATCAACAAATTTTGAACAGAAGGGTACTGATTATTGGAGTGCAAACAAGCTATAGACAAGGATCAACTCGGTCTAGATGCAAAGTTCCACACTGTTGGATAAAAACAATGCATGCCAATTCAGAGAATCCATCATAGCTTCAATTGCCATAGGCTCTAAATGATAACATCATAACTTCAAGTGAAACAAGAAGCAAAAAATCCAGACAATAAACCATGACTACCAATACGGTAAAGGGGGAAAATAGCATCAAGCAAACTACAAATTACACACCATTTTTTCCTGATTTCAAAACCATGTCTTGTAGGGTGTCCGCAACCACCACTTTCACAGGTTTGTCATTCACATCAGGGATTGGTTCAGATTTTACATATGGTGGAACTTTTCCTTCCTGCAGAAGAGTAATTTAGTCAAACAAAAGCAGAAAACAACCACTAATATAGCATAATTCATTGCTACATATCCTCTCACTAAACTCATAACCTTAACAGGTACAAACTTTAGAATTTTGCGATTCTACCAAAATTTTCATAATAAGAAAGGATAAGCTTTATCATTTATTATGAACCAATACATTAAATGTAATGCAGAAGTCACCTTGTAATCCTTCACCCAGGGTGCAATGTGATCAGCCACCACATGTGCTTTCAAATACTTCTTCCCATCATTATTCTGAATGATGATCAGAGGTACTTGGCTTTCTTGAACTCCAAAATACTGTTTTCCAACCAACAGGAAAATTAGACTTAAGTAGATAATGCAATAAACAAACTGCTATATATGAGTAGATACTAACCTGGAAGGCACCTTGACTAGCCTCAACATCTCCCAAAAGGAAACTAATGCCCTGTCCTCTGTATTGCTCAGCAACTTCACGGTATTTTGATTTTAAGGAATCAACACCTTCACTGCTCAAGTTTGCGAACAACATAGCCTACCAGAGTCAAAGTCCTATTAGTAGGTGAATTTAAAGGATGCATGGAACAAGTTATGACAATTATGACAATCAAACCAAAATGATACTGAAGAGAACTGATAGTGAACTTAATAACACAGTCCAAAGTGCATTAAAGGTGAACCAAGATCAGTAAAGGTGGTCGTTCAACTAGAAAACATAACAAAATGTGGGTATTCCAAGACAATGATTGTTACCAAATAAATGCCAGCCACACTCTTATTTCCTTCACTGTGTATAAGAATGAGGTGGCACAGAGAATAAACTTCTGATCGTGTAATTTACCTTCACATAGGGACTGTTAAAGAATTTGACAACAAAGGGGTGATTGCTTGGGTCATTGTTATAGAAAGTCACAAGAGGAATGCTAGATTCTTCAACAAACTTCTCTAGAGCTTCCAAATTAAAGTCCTGCAAGCAAAAACCTTCTGTAAAAGATAGCTAATTGTAAATGGCGCAGAGCTATCTAACAACATAAACATCAATGAAATTGTATTTTAATGGTGATATAGAATAGAGTCAACATTCCAGATTACCTTGAAGTCAACAAAGAGTTCATCAAAAGGCTTGAAAAGTCTGACAACAGGACCAGTCACCAATGATTCACCACGGGGAAGGTGTTTAGCATCCAAAGTATGACCAAATTCATAGTCAGAACGCAATTTCTCAGCAAATGCTATATAGCTCTCAAACTCTTCACCAGAGAATTTTGGGAACACCCCAACCTAGATACAAAACACACATGCATATCAGCTAAACTTCGCCACGAAAAACCAACGAAAACAGAGGAGCAGAGAATTCTCAGAATGCTTACAACTACTATCTTCTTGTCATCAATAAGATTACTGGCATCTTCTACCGACTTTATTTCAGCAGAAGCAGGACCACTTTGTTTCTTCAAATACTCCACAATACCATCAGCTTCACGTGGACCCTTGTATTCTTGAATATTCTTTCCTCCATTTCTCACAATTTTGAGTGTAGGGTAACCCTTGACTTCATGTTTATTTGCTAAATCTTTGTTTGCTTCCTCATTGGCATCAACTTTAGCTAGAATGATTGGAGGGTTGTGTTTACTCAATATAGATGCTGCTTTCTCATACTACACAGCAAACAAAAGTTTTATTGTTAGTAACAGACAGTGTATGAATTATCAACAAAAATTCAACACTTTGAAGAAAACCTAAATTTGTTTACCTCTGGAGCAAGATTCTTACAGTGTCCACACCTAAGAGTAGAGGTAAAAGGAGACTATTTAGTTATGAGAAGGTAAACAAAAGACTAACAAAGCATATTAAGAAAGGAAAAGGAATTGCAAATTGTAAACTGAGAAATTAAGTTAAATCTCTCGAGTATGAAGCATTTCACTGCTAAATTAAGTAATCGTTGTATAAAACATATCTCTGTCGATCTGTTAATGATTGTAGAATCAAGGTTGCTTAGTTTATATATCAAATAATTTTATGACTATAATATT